ACCCCCCCCCCCCCCCCGCAAAAAAAGAAAGAAGAAAATATAATTTCACTCAAGTAATTTATAAATAGTCCTGCCAAGTACTCACTTTTAGCGTGTTAATAATCACAGAACCAGGGAAAGGATCTACTCCCCAAATGCTACGGTCTAAGAAGCAACGCTTGTATAAGGCTTAATACTTAACTGTGAAAGGAAGGGCCAGGGAGCTATGACCTAAATGAAAACCACATTTTTGACAACAAAAATAAAACCTCGAAGGGGGGAAAAAAAAGACTCAGAGGCTTGTGTATTAACTGTTCCTGGGTACAGTTTGTGACAAAGTTTGTGCTACTGTGTCTCCTGATGGTGGTGTTCACAGTGACACAAATGAATTTATCTATGACATCATAAAACCAAAAAACCGACAATGCTGTTTCTCCAAAATTTTATTTTAATTTAAATTACAGGGCCAGCCAGATAATCTGATAAGAAATTTACTTTTCCTCAAGAGAAAGGAAATGCTTCCATGGCATTGTTAACAATTGTATACATCTCCACCTTTTTTAAGGGTTAAAAAATCACATTGAGTAACTGACTTATGTAAAATGAAAACTTTATAACACAAAAAGAAACCACTTCCAGTATAATAGTTTTGGTAATATGAATATATTAAATGATCATAACTTCAAATGCAACTTTTCAACTTTGAATGTTTTCACATTTTTGTTTAAAAGCAACAAAAACCCAAAAGTCTTAACTATCCCCAGATTCCAATGCAATAGTAACACATCAGTGTTTTCTTTGACACACTGCACCCCTGTCTTCCACACAAAGGCTCTAGTGCTATGACAGCATTGCCAAAGGGGAAGCTGTTGTTTCAAGTTCTAAGAACCAGCTTGGCAAGGAAACCTTTCTTCCACTTGGTGTAATTAATGTTTGCACACGGAATCCAGATACCCAGCACTGGACCACGAGAACCAGAATGATGCATCGCAGCCAAGTCTGCCTTCCTAAACATCTTGGATATTTTCATTTCAAGGAGCTTGGATTGCTTTCTCTAGTTCCGATAGAAAAACATGAATTATTTTACACAGATTTTGGTAAAGACATCCTCAGGAAAACCAATTATAAGTGTAGACTGCCATTTCAATTAAACAGAATAAAATATATCTATGTTTTCTGGAGCTGTTTTCCTAACTGGTGCTCCTAGAAGGAGATCTTAAAGCCTGCTGAAACATCAATTGGGAGTCTCACTTTACTGGCTGATAAATAATTCAATTAGTAAGAGAGGCTAGCAAAGAATAATTAGATAAATTTCTTAATCAGCTACAGCCATGCTGAATTCGAACTGACAAACTCTGATTTGTAAGTTGTTAGTTGTGATCTTCATATCACTAAGATGAACAGATACCATTCTAATAACTTTACATAGATATATTCTAGGAGACGTTGTTCTGCCGTGGTCACAGTAACAAAAAAGTGGTGCAAAATCAGTTACTTTATAAATACTGATAATTTGCAGCATTAAGGAACAGGACATTAAAAAAAAATAAATTTCCCCAAAGGACACCTATGACTAGGAACTCTTCTTTTCCTAAGAGAAGCCAAAGTTTTAATTATTCAGTTTCACAACTATTGTACTGGATTACTTTAAGAAAGAAAAGGTGCTCTACAGAGGTCTCCCACACACACAAAGAATCGGCGTTAATTTAGCATAATCGGTATCATTCATAGATCTGGAGAACTCATGACTCATTTTAAATGAGTAAGGCCAATATTATGCAGGAAAGTGTAGCTGACTGAGTTCCAGGTCTGTACTGTAGCCTACTGATGGCACCCCATTGGATAACTGAATACAAAGGACTGGTTTACTTTTTCTTTTAATGCTGTGATACTTAAATCAGCATTTTCAGGTGATCTGAAGTATTTCAATTACGTATTATGAGCATTCATTTTTTGCAAAAACTCAATATTAGGTAATAGTTACATACTAATACAATAACATTCCTCTGCTGTACAAATTAAATCATTTAAAAGAAATGAGCATTCTAAGAATTATATACAAAAGGAAACTAAGCATTGTTGAAATGAAATGAGAGGTGTCATTGCTAGCTCTACTGTTTTAAAATACCTTCAAAAAGTAAAATTAACAAATACCCTTCAACATATCCAGGTTTACAAGTCTCAAGAAAATCAAATGTCAAAAAATTCTAGAAAGCTGTGAAAAGCATATATACATTTTCCTTATGACCTTACAAAGCTTCACAATTTTGAGAAGCTGCTAAGTTTCAGTATCAATTTATTCATGTGTCAACTTTATCCACCCAAGAAGCTCACATCTTGGATATAGTTCCCCTATGATTTCAAATAAAGCTCTGCACAGTCTTCCATTAGTGAAGGCATATAATCTTACCAAGAATCCACACCCAGATCTTTAACAAAGATAAATGCAAACAAGCAGGTTTGCTCTGATAATATCAGTGCCCTCTTCCCCTAACACACACTATCATCTATGCATTTGCCTTCATGAACCTAGCCATGTTCAGAACTTCTACAGCAGAGTCTTTGAATACTGAAATGACACAAAGATTAAGAAAAAGTCCACGTGTGCTCTAGTGTGCAAGAAAGCAGCAGCTACGTTCTCCAACTTGGACTAAAAAAAACAAACAAGGTAAAATGAAAACCGTTCACTTAACAGCAGATTAGCAGTAATGTTCCTCATGAATTGATAACAGTGCCTGATGCTGAATAGCTAACAGCAAATGCTGAATTTGAATTTAATATTTTAGATGTTTATAGGAAATTAGGCTTCTTGCTGAGCTGGTCTCTTCAAATCCCTGATCTGTTTGACTAAATAGGTCTTCTCATCGTTAAACTGTTCATCCTCGGTCCTGTCATTCTGGAACTTGCTGAGGAACTCTATAAGTTTGGTCTGGTTCTTGAGGAGGATGTCTAAGATGGGCTGCGTCTTGTTAGGATTGGCTACAAACACCTGCACAGAGAAAAATCAACATCAACCAAAGGGAAAGAACAAGACACGGGGACATGTATGCCACAGTTAGCAGAGCACATGCTACACACATCCAATGCTTCCCTGGGGCCTGTGGTGAAGCCAGGATTAATTCAGAGGTGTTCGATTTGGAAGACCTTATTTTACAATTTAAAAAAGGGGGAGGATTACATGTTTTAGCACAAAAAGGACTGACATATTCACTCATGCTCTGAAACTCAGCAGTTGGTATTAAATATAGACTTTGATTGTAGAATAAAATGAGCAGGAGTTAGTTCTGGGCAGAGGAGGTCAGAATGGATTTCAAGAACAAAACCTCCGTGGAAAGCATTAAGAAATGGATTACCCTTTACTTTATGATTAATAATCTTCTATGCCAAAGATAAATGACACCCCTCTACAAATAAACTTTTCTTGTTCCCAAATGCGAATGGTATATACCTTGTTTCTGGGTCTATTTTTGTTTAAATGTTGTACCACACAACTATGAAAATTGACTGAACTGAGCTGTGTCACTGAGATTACCAAAATGAACCTAATAAAACTTCAGTAATTTGTAAATGAAATGGGATGAACAACTAGTGTTTATGCTTTTAGTACTCTACCTTAAAAACGTGGAAGGCCTCAAACTGGATGTTACGGCTTTTGTCTCGTAGAAGGTTCATCATTAACTTGAGGTTTTCAGGTTTACTGATGTATTTTGTCATAATTGTGAAGTTGTGTCTGTCTAGTAGTAGCTCACCGAGAAGCTGAGAAGACAAACAATTACTCTTCCATTATCATTTGAGATTTGAAGTAAAACCAAAGTTTTAAAAACAATTCATTAAATAATCATCATTATTAAGCACAGAATATTAGTAGGCACTCAAAAGACTGATGAACTGAACTGAATTATGACCTAAAAGCTAATGAGTGCCTCCTATTTGTTACTTGAACACCTACCTTTTCTTCTGGGGTTTAAACCTATGGTGAGTCTGACACTGCTCTCTGAAGAGGACATTCAAGTCACATTTGGCCCAGAATCTGAGACAGTCAGAACCTATTCTTTAAATATGCATTTGTGTTATCTCAGTAAAAAGAAACTGGTCAGACGATACGTTACTGAATAACTATATACTTTAGCTTAATTTAAAAATAATTTTACTATTTTTTATTTTATTTATCTGAACTTTACAGGACAAAGGGTTTCATGTACAAAGTTTTCCACATACTTACCCCTAAACACACCAAACTTATCATTTTATCTATCTGATTCAGAGAGGTTTATAAAAACAAATACTTTTCTGTTCCTTCTTAAGCAAGGTATCCTGAAGATACTCTAAGCTTTTCTTAGTGACTCCTCAACATTACTAAAAATGACATTAATTAAGCTAAAAAAAAGTCCGTGCCTTCAGCTAAGTCTGTGCTTCCTGAGTTCTATGGAGTTGACTATACCGTATCAGCCCTTACTTTTAAAATTGTCCCTGCTTGTTCTAGATTTCTCTTTTTCTGAAGCCAGCAGTCACCTCTTCATGCTGTCAGTGTGCCAACGTCTAGTCAAGGACTAGTGTGCAGGTGGTATAACCTGCCTGCGGACAGGGACCAAGCTGTGGTCCTTGTGGACACAGGCAGAAGCAGAGCAGTGGAGATCCTGGCCCCTGGCACCAGCCTGCCTGGGTTCCAGTCCTGACTCCCTGCTCCCTGTGAGTTCTCTAACCTTGAGAATGTTATTTAACTTCTCTGTGCCTCAGTTTTATCATCTGTACAGTGGGAGTGGACCTATATCTTATGAGAGTATAGTGAGAAGTAAAAGCATGAATACATGCAAAGCACGCTGGACCCGAGTCTAATAAGAGACATGTAGTGAGGTCTAAGGGAAGGAAAATGCATGGATAGAGCTACTTTGCCATGGTTTACTTGCTGTTATTAATTCCCTTCTGGGTTCCTGGCTATGTTCTAGATACTTGAAGTTTCCAGATAACTGATCTCTAGATAAATAACATGTCATCATAGTAAATCAAAAATAACCTGATGTGCAGGAAAACAAATCTACTCTACGTAGGATTATAAAGAATTTAGAGGAAGAATTCAAAAGCTCAGATAGGTTTCACATCAAATCTGAATCACAAAATATACAACTTTCAAAGTAAGCCCAGTATTTACTCTTATGGAGGCTCAAAAGGTAGTATTAAGTATGTATAGACTTATTGGGTGTTAATTTTCTGTCACAGAAACCAAAGAAATACTGAAAATGACTCATTTCAATGTGATTATCTAGAGAAGGATGACCAGTAATTTAAAGAATTTCTTTGGACATAAAAATTAAAAATTGGGGTAATTCCCTGGTGGTCCAGTGGTTAGGACTCCACGCTCTCACTGCCGAGGGCCAGGGTTCATTCCCTGGTCTTAGAACTAAGATCCCATAAGCCATGCAGTGAGGCCAAAAATAAATAAACAAAAACAAACAAATAAATAAACTGAAGCTTGGTACAGGGAATACAAATTTGCTTGGTAAAATAAATATAGGGATAAATAAATGCCAATGTGGCAGCAAAAAAGAGAGTACAAATTAAAATACATTTTTAGAGTACCACTGGTCCTCAAAATTTCTCCATGCGTTCATGAGAAACTGTAGGCATGAAAGACTTGCTTCGTATCCATTCCTTCGCTAGCCATACAGTGTCTCTGGGGCAACGATTCAAATCTGCTGTTGTAGCCGAAACAGCCACAGACAATATGTAAATAAAAGAATGCATCTGTGTTCCAATAAAACTTTATTTACAAAAATACACAGTGGGCTGGATTTGGTAGTTTGCCAAACCCTGTTCTAGAGTTTTAAATATTTAAGTTTCAAATGGAATTGTCCACATCCTATTTTGATACAAAGCAGCCAAACTCGTCTACGGTTCACAGTGTCACTGTGCACGGCCACCCCACTCCCCTCACACAGCAAGCTTGTGCCATCTGGGCAGCATTCTGGGGAACAAAACACCTGTAGCGCCTTCAATTCGGTGATTCGATTCTAAGTTTTAACAATAGGCTCCCAAATCTAAAATACCTCATTACTAAGTGATTAAATCCTCTTCAAAATTCTGTATGTTCCATTTCGGTATCTCTAACACATGAGGAGGTGAGCAGGGGTAGCTGCCCCGCATGAACCACTGCTGAACCCCGCCTGCTCTTTTCCACAAAAATCTTGACCATGGGCAAATGTATTTTCCCTGAAAAGGTCTAGAACCCATAGCACCGTATCTCCCTTTCCCCAAACACACATTTCAAATAAGGGGTGGAGAGAAATGAATTACTTCAATAATTTGTCATACCTTGAGTGACTGTCTTTTTGTCACATAATTTTCTGAATGAAGTAACTTCTCATATTCACTGAAGAACTAAAAGACAAGAAAACACTTATCAGAGTTATTTTTTTAAAGGCCAGTAATACCATTAAAATGTGAGCAGGGGTAGCTGCCCAGCATGAACCACTGCTGAACCCCGCCTGCTCTTTTCCACAAAAATCTTGACCATGGGCAAATGTATTTTCCCTGAAAAGGTCTAGAACCCATAGCACCGTATCTCCCTTTCCCCAAACACACATTTCAAATAAGGGGTGGAGAGAAATGAATTACTTCAATAATTTGTCATACCTTGAGTGACTGTCTTTTTGTCACATAATTTTCTGAATGAAGTAACTTCTCATATTCACTGAAGAACTAAAAGACAAGAAAACACTTATCAGAGTTATTTTTTTAAAGGCCAGTAATACCATTAAAAAGCTTGAGTACAAACTTCTAACAGCACAAAGGCCAATCGCTGCCCAAGCTCAGCCCCTCCTGTCTGCTTCACACCCATCCTCAAGGTGACACCCACTGGTTACCTCCACGAAGAAGGCTCCTGGCCCCCTCCCAGCTCTAGCCAGGTGCGCATATAGCTTAAATCTGGTCCTCTTCTGTCCAAACTCCATATGCACAGAACATAACTCCCTTTCCCCCCGAGTGTTTTCTCACTGTTGAGTCAGCTCTCATTTCCTGGTGTTAGATTAGAAAATTCCTATTTTTTACAACTCAACTAGTCCAAAGCACAAGCACAACGAGAAAAGTTGCCTGTTCTTTCAAAGCAAGAAGAGAAAATAATTAAAAACAGGAGAGAGAAGAAATTCAGCACTTTTAAATAGGTAGGTGTCCCACAGAAGGTAGGACCTGAGCTCAAACTTGGCTAATGGGAGAGATTTCGTTCAGAAATGCGGAGGAGAAGAGATGCTCTTGGGGGACAGAAAGGGAAGAACACGGCGTGAGCGAGGACCTGGAAAATGCAAAATGATACAGATTTAAGAGCTGACGAATGTCCACTAGATTTACAAAATGGTGCTCCCTAACAAGAACAGTGTCCCTGGAACGGTAAGGAGCAGAAGCAGAGGAAAGCTGGGAGGTGGGAAATAGAAGTGAGGGGCACACAAGGGCTAGGGCCACACTTCCCAAAAGTTAGAAGAGAAGGCCAGTTAGCTGTTTGTTTTAACTACAGACAGGTTTTAAAAGTTCCAAAGTTTTGCAGTACTAGTATGACTCTGCTGGCTATCAGTGCTTTACTGAGACCTTTCCTTGGTTGTGGTGGGCGGTAAAGGATGCCTGCTTTGATGCTAAAACTGTTTTCTACCTTTGCTTTATGATGGGTTCTCATCAGCCATTCGTCTGTGGTTTAGAGCAGGGGTTGGCAAACTACAGCTCATGGGCCAAATCCAACCCACCGTCTGTTTTTATACAAGTTTTATTGGATCGCAGCCATGCTCATTTGTGTATGGAAAACAAATTCAGTTTATGAACTCTTTATGGCTGCTTTTGCAGTAGAACAGACAGGAGAGCTGACAGAGACTGCATGGCTATGAAGCCTCAAATATTTACTATCTGGGTGGCCCTTTAGAGAAAACGTTTTCCAGCCCCTGGTTTAGAGCTAACCAGAACTGCCTATGCATTCATTCTGTAGCTTATCTCTAGGCAGAGGCGGGATGGCCATCTACTTAGTATGCAAGCAACTAAAACTTTTCTCTTCAGAGATGGCTGTTAACCCTTCCTTCTCTCAAATGATCGTCCAGTCAATGATCAAACAATTGGGTCTGCCTTTAATCAATAATGCAGAAACAGGAACACCTCAAGTTCTCGACAGAAAATGCAAGTTAAGATTTTCTGCTGCATAATTTTTAGGGTAAGCTTGGTTGCAAGAAATTATTCTCAAGGAGAACTGCCTGGTTAGATTTTATCCCTGGCCAGCAATAAAGGACTAGGAGAGACAGAGGTCAGGCACTGTTTGGGCCCCTCAAAGATTTTGCTCTCCGTGAGCACACTTTAGTTCAGCATTCTATTTACTGCAGAGGCACGCTCAGTGACTGCGTCCACTACATGACACTATAATTCAATTCCCGTCTAAGAATGTCGATGGGAGAAATTTGTTCCAGGTCCCAGTGCTAGAAAAGGCTGTTTCTTTTGAACAAGCTTTACAGATACTGTGAGCTTTTCCTTGGTTTTGTTTCCCTCTATGCTTTAATTACTAGAAAGCTCAGAGTCAAGTGTACAGATTTTAGAGCATATGTTTTTGCCCAGTAACTCCACCTCGGCTTAATTTAAATTGCCTGCACCTCCCCACTTTCCTTCTCCTCCTTGGATATGACTGCACTGCATGCACATTTCTGTCAGCTGCTGCACATAAATTTGCTAAATCCTGTTAACCAATGTCACCCATTAATAACATATAGGAAAATATTTTAGCGCAAAATTAAAGCGACATCATTGCCGGTAGCAAATTTCTGGGAAATTAGATTTTATCTTTGGTAGGTTTTAAATTAAGATACTCATATGTTTAATTAAAAAAAACCCTTGAGACCATGTGGTAATAGAAATAATAACGCTAATGTTTATTAAATGCTTACTGTGTTCCAGGCACTGTGTCTTGCATTTGACACACACATTCTTATCTAATCCTCACAGCAACCCAGTAGTAAGAAGGTGCTATTATGAGCCTTCTTTTAGAGCTGAAGATCCTAAAGGCACAGAGGGTGAATGAAGGCTGCTGCCCAAGAGCTGGAAGCACACGGTGGAGCTGTGACTTGAAGCCAAACTCCACGCAGTCTGGTGCCAAAGCCCACGCTTCTAACTACTGTAAAAGGCACCAACAAAATGACTGTGCTTCTGATTTAAACCAACAAATGCACAGGAAAAAAAAAACACACCCCCATCCCAATGTACACGGGCAGGAAAAAAAAAAATGACCAGCTATGTTTAAGCCATCGATGAGGCTATTTATGAGGGAATTACTATGTACTCAGCACTGTGTTATGATGTTACTGGGAGTGGGAGGGGAAGACGGGAAAAGGAACACAAGAGAATTAGAAAGCATAGGCTTTGCCTCCAAGAATCTTCTAATTTAGTTCAATGGCACAGTGAACAATGAAGTATTAACAATACCTAGGATTTTAAAAATTCAAACAACTAGTGGAAGAATGAAAACCTAAGCCAAATCTTGGGGGAGAGACAGAAATTTTAAGTGGATTGTTACTATCATAACTTCTCCAGGAGGACCTATGAGATCTTGGACAATGCCTACATTAAACTAGTACGGCATAAGGAAGTGCTCGTGGGAATTCTGGAGAGCAGAGCTGACACATGGTGGGAGAGAACACATGACGCTACTGCTGTGATGATCAAGGGCAACCAGGTTATCAGAGCACCCAGCACTATTCACAAACCTCTGGGGGTTCTACTACTAGCTCAATCTGGAGGGGGCCTTAAGGCTGGGCTAATCCAATGTCTTCATTTTACAAATAAGGACAGACTTCTGAGTCCCCCAGCGGGCCCTGGTCTTGGTCACAAGGAGTCAGCAGCAGAGCAAGGGCAGAACTGGCTGCTGCGTCCTCTAGGCTAGAGTTCTGCCCATCTACCTGCTGCTGTGCCCTTTTCTCTCTATTTGTAAGCAGCAGGA